GACTTCTCTTCTCAGCTCTGGAACACCAGGCTGGGTGTTTGTTGTGGGGCTGGGACCCTTTGCTCCTCACAGAGGCCTCCACAGCCAAGATATTCCTCCTGACTAAACAAACAAACAAACAAAACAAAAAACCCAAAACAAAACAAAACCACCAAAAAACAAAACAACAAAAACACCACACATGGTCCGTTCCATATCTCTGTCCCACCTACTAGTCTTTCTTCTTTACTTTCCTAGTTGTAGGACTTTCAGCCAGATTTCAGGTGGTTATTTCATGCTAGTTGTTCTGTATTTCAGTCATAATTTTGATGTGGTTGTGGAGGTGATGAGTACTGGTGCTTACCTATGCCACCATCTTGGTTCTCTCCACATGCTGTCTCTTGCACATTCCTCATTGATGTTTCTCACTGAGCCACACTGGCCAGGCCAAACTCTTGACGTTTTTAGTTTCGGCCTTCTGCAGCATCAGGTACATGGACCTTGGACCAGTAACACACCTGTACACATTCCTTCCCAGTTGTGGGACAGGATTATTTAGATAATCGGGACACTGGAGTCGCAAAGCTGACTGGTGGGTCCCTCTGCAGTGCCCACCACTGTGCACATGCAGAGTGCCCCAAATATGAAGCTACATGTCCCTAAGGAGGTGTCCACCAGCTTTGAATAAAATCCCAAGAACCAAGGCCACATTGGTCTTCTAGTTCCTAATTGTGTGATTTCCTTGGCTGCCTCAAATTGCAGCTTGTCAAAAGTGAACAAGGCCTGGTGGGCTGCAGCCAGCACAGAGGGGCCACGGGGGCAACGAGAAAGCTGCCTAGATTTGGGGTTCGATTTCCTGGAGGGGTGCAGGTGGGAGGCAGCTTGAGTCTCATGGCAAGGCTGAGAGCTGACCGCACCCTAGTACACAGAGGGCAGGCATGGAAGCCCTGCCTTTCTAACACTCCTTCCTGACCTTGCCCAGTACATCCCTTCCTTTTCTGCTGTTCCTTGGTTGTATCCTTTACAATAAACACCATAAGGATGACACTTTCAGTGAGTTACTGGAAGTCATTGTAGTGAATAATCAAACCTGAGGGGTCTTTAGAACCCCCGTTTATGGCCATCTCAGCATTAGTCTGTATGGCCCCAAGACACCTAACTGGCATTTGAAGTGGGTTATCTTGTGTAGGCCTTCACCTTCAACCTATGGGATCCAGGGTTCTCCCAGATCATCAGTGTCAGAATATTGGCATGAGGATAGCACAGGCTTTGCTTGGCACCTGGCCAAGCTGGCTTCTAAAGTCCTGCTCTGGCAGGAGCCAGTGCCTCTGAGGAAGACAGACCGGACAAGGTATGCCTTATATGTCACATAACAAGGTCCTGTTTTCAGGCTTTGTAAACAGGAACACAATGATGACTAGTAGTGGGGAAGTGTTGAGAGATGCACCAGGTATCTCCTCCTGACAACATGGGTCTGCATTCACCCTCTTTGAGCCCCAAGACTGTCCACCAGCCACCTGGCTCACTTTGTTATAAGACAGAGTGTGGAAGCCAGAGGTCTCTGCTATCAACAGCAGCAGCTACGTGAAAATCCCCACAGGATGGAAGACTGCCGGAAGAACATTGGGGCCCCTGGTCCTCCCATGTTGGTGGCCATCTTTTTTTATTTATTTATATTTTTATTGATTTCCAAGAGGAAGGAAGAGGGAGAGATAGAAACACTAATTATGTGAATCAGTGATCAGCTGCCTCCTGCACACCCCCCACTGGGGATCAAGCCCAGGACCTGGGCATTGGAATCGAACATTGATTGGAATCGAACCTGGGACCCTTCAGTTTGCAGGCCAACACTCTATCCACTGAGCAAACAAGGTAGGCCTTAGTGGCCATCTTTGCTGGAGCACCTAGTTTCTGTGCAAATTTGGTGAATGCACATCTGTTCAGACTTCTGGCTTCTTGAGCACAGATGGTTAGCGAAGCCTTTAGATCATGGCCAGAGTGTCATCCTAATACTAGCCAAACCATTTTAGAAAAATGGGAAAATCAAAAGGGAGATCAAGATAAATATGGTTTACCTATCCTCAGCACCACGCCCTCCCCCAACTGGGTGGGTCAATTTTGCTGAAAATTTCTGCAAGTTTATACTCCTTCTCAATTTCTTTCTGGGAAACACTTTCAAAGGGACCCCAGCTTAATTTGGATGGAGTAGACTTACCCTGACTCTTCAGATGTGCCATTTCCCAAGCAAGTGTCCCAGCCCCGCCATATTTTCACAAGATGTGGCAACACAAGTTATCATCAAATCCCCTACGTTACACTCTGAACTCTGCTTTTGGCAGAAAAGGGAAAACCATCTTTGGAGGAAAGTGACATAGACCGATCTCCAAGGTAGGCATGGACTCATACCTTCTCACCACTGGTACCATCACTCAGCTAGGGAGAGAGGATATAGGACAATGGTGAGGTCAGGTTAACCAGCTGTAGCGTCACCTGGAGTACGAAATACCCCTGGTGTAGTGACTTCCTCTGTCCTTTGGACAGGGGCCAGACCAGGTGAACAGGCCATCTATTTGAGGCCTAAATGTGCCACAAGGTGGAGTCTGACACCCAGAGGACTACTTTCAGCATCCTTACTCCTCAAGCTCACCTTGTCAGGTCAATCGACTATTTCAATTGTGGTGCACATTACTTTTTAAACTAAATGGAAAGTGTAACATGAATATTAATTCAGCAAGTTAATTTTTATGCACCTAGGAGTTTGTGGAAACAATGTCCAGAGATCCAAGGAACAGGGAGGGCAGATGCTTCTCAGATGTGGGGCCTGTACTTCCATGGTAAGGTGGAGCTGTAGCTCACCTGCCTGCCCATCCCCCAGGGAGGGAGCCAGTGGTCAGTTCTCCGGTGCCTGCAGGAGCAGGTAACCCCACGGGCCTCTTGAAATGGTCTGAACTGGGATTTGAACTCCATCACCCTGGAGGGCTTCTGAATCCTGAGTGACTGACCTTCCAACTAGGTAGGTACTAGGTATAGGGGGTCAGTGAGTGGGGGTTTCTCCACAGGATTTGGTGGGGTCTCAAGAAACAGCTACAGCCCACTGGTGTTTTTCTTATTTAGGATCTAGTTTTATAGGTAAGACACAACATTGAGTGGGCAATGTTCCTCCAGTTTACAAATGTCTGAAGCAGATCAGGAGCCACCTTCCAGCTGACAAATCCTTGAGCGAGAGTGCATGAGGGTAGGGCAAATGTATATCCTGGCTTCTATTTGGAATTTCCTCCTCAATAGCCTTAAAGATTCACTTTCCCCCTTTTCTTGGCAGATCAATAAGAGGCAAATTGTTTAGAAATGGAGAGCCCCAATATTTATTTTTTGTTCAGGGTATGACCTAACAGTTTTTATTTATTGCATTTACTGCTTCTCGGGATACAGGGGTGTCTACACAGGCACAGTAATCAGAATTATAAAACCTGTGGCTCTTCCACTGGATTTGATGGCATCTCATCATGTGACAACAGAAGTGACAAGGGGCCTGGCTGCCTGCTGATGGACATACAAATAACACAAAATGTCCATCTGTGCTCTCCCCACATGGAGCCTGGCCGATGTTACCAGTCTTCCAGGAACAATAACACCATGGTTTTCGTTGCTTGAGACTGCACAGCCAACGGTCACTCCCAATCCAGAACTCCAGGACACGCACTTTCAAAGCTATGCTGCTTCCAGTGGATGGACAGCAAGCCAACCGCAGCTTCTGTCGACTCATCTGTTAATCTGGGATGACCAGATAATAGCAAGACTATCTGCTGTTGTGGACTGAATGGTCTCCCCATCGCCCCAGATTCATATTTACGTCCTAACCCCAATACATTAGAATGCGGCCTTTCCTAGAAATATGGTCATTGTGGGTGTTACTAATTAAGACAAGGAACATACCAGAATAGGTATGGGGGGGCCCTGATCCAATATGGTGTCTGTATAAAAAGGGGAAATTTGGAGACAGACATGTACACGGGGACACCACATGAAGGTGAAGGCAGAGACGGGGTAATATTTCTACAAGGAACATCGTCGACCGCCAGCACCACCAGAAGCTGGGGGAGAGGTGTGGAACAGAGCTTCCCTTCCAGGAAACTAGCACACTGACCCCTTGACACTGGACTTCCAGCCTCCAAAACTGAGGCAATAGGTTTCTGTTGCTCTAAGTCACCCTGTTTTCGGTATTTTGTTAAGGCAGCCCTAGCAAATGAATATGAACAGAAGACTAAGTTACTAGGTATGGAGAGCCCAACCTCACAGGAGGTCGTTTCCACTGCCCCTCATCCAGACAACAGAACCCCCCTGGGGCCGGCTGAGCTCCACACTCCCGGACACACTGGGGCGGGCAGGGGAGCTTAAGTGCCTTTCGAAGGATGACAACCTCTTCCACCCCACAACCATCTACCGGGGCCTTCAGGTACAAAGGAATGACATCTGAGCAGAGTGTGCAACAATTTAAAATGTGGGTATAGCCCTCAGTGAACTCTAAGCAGCAGCTGCCATGGCAAATAAAAGTATGGCACAGTTCCCTTCGCGGGGCTGCCCAGAACAGCGGGTGCTCTCTGGGTCCGCTGGTGACACAGCGGGATTGGTGTGCCTGGCCTTGCTGCCCACACGCGCTCCCTGCCTTTTTCTAGCCATTACCACGCCCACAACTTCTTGCTCTCAGCTGGGAAGTACAGTTACCCTGGGACCTCCAGAGAGGGGCAGGGGTCCAGACAAGGCAGCATGGCAGTGTAGTGAGTTGGTGGCAAGGGACAGACCCCAAATGGTCACTGCATTGGGGCAGTCCGGTCCCTCAGGCCGCCTGGGAAGCACTGGACGGGGCTCTCTTCTGACCCAGAAAGGCCGGGCAGGTCCAAGCTGCTTATGCACCTCCCTCCCTGCTTTTTGACACAGCAGAGACGAAAGAAATGCTCCGTTGATCACTATCTCGTTTCTACCTGAGAGCGAAGTGGGGGAAGGTGAGGTCTGCCCGGGAGCGGTCAGTAGGAGTTGAGGGCCTGCTTGGAGCGGCGCTTCATGTGCAGGCGCTGGTGGCGCAGGAGGTCGGAGTTGTGCAGGAAGCTTTTGACGCAGTAGCGGCACCGGAAGGGCCGCGCCCGGTCCTTGGCGTGCACGCTGCTGCGGTGCCTGGCCAGGTGGTCCGGCCGCTGGAACAGCTTCCCGCAGTCACAGCACCGGCTGCTCACCAGGGCCCGGCCCTCGGCCGGCGGGGCATCGGGCCCCCCGCCGGGGGACTCCGCCGCCCCCTGCTCGCTCCCGATCGCGGGCCGGGCCTCGGTCGGTTCGGTGGGCGGCAGGTGGACCCGCGTGTGGCAGAGCAGGTGCGAGTTGAGGCGGAAGCTCTTGCCGCAGGCGCCGCAGCGGAAGGGTTTCTGGGCCTCGTGGGCCTCCAGGTGCCCGTCCAGGTCCTCGCTGTCACTGAACAGCTCCCCGCACACCGAGCACTCGTGCAGCTTCTCCCGCTCCCTGCGGCTGCGCAGGTGCCGGATGAAGTTGACCCTCCAGCGGAAGACCTTGCCGCAGTTGGGGCACACGTAGGACTTCCCGGAGGGGTGCACCTCGCCCCCCGCCGAGAGGCCATTCTGCTGGGGCACGGGGGTGCCGTTTTGCTTCCCCAGGGGGCTCCGTGTCTCCTCTGTGCAGTAGGGGCCCAGCTGGGAGTCCTCATCCCCAGAGCTGGACAGGACGATCTCGATGGTCACCTCCTCATCCAGGCTGCTCTTAGGGGGCGGCGGGTCACCTCCGGCTGCAGGAAAGCAATGTGGAGGCCACTCAGAGTGGATGACGGAACAGGTACGGCGTTGGGGGTTATGGGGAAAGAGTGAATGCATTTTGAATGTGAGGACATGAACTTAGGGGACCAGCGGGCGGAGTGCTAAGGGCAGAAGTGCATCCCCTAAAAATCCCTACTATGCTTAAGTCATAACTCCAAATACCTCAGGATGCGACTATCTTTGGAGTTAAGGCCTTTCAAGAGGTAAGTTAAAACGAGATCACTGGAGTGGCTTGTAAGCCGACTGGCATCCTTCCAAGAAGATATTAGGACACAGGCATGTGGAAGCTCAGGGAGAGCACAGCCAGCTACTGGCCGAGAAGACTTGCTGCAGGAGAAGCCCCTCCTGATACTAGACCTCAGACTTCCAGCATTTTGAGAAAACCAATTTCTGTTGTTTGAGCCTCCTTAGGACACTAATACAGTGCATACTGGATGACAACCCCTCAAATGAGCTAAAGTAACAAAAATAAATGCAATTTCTAAAAGGGGACCTGTGGGCCACAGTGCTCCTGTGGGTCATTTACACAAAGTTAGGAGTTGCTACTAGATGAGATGGGATTTAGCAGTGTGCCCCAAACACCAGAGAAAGTGAAATTAGGGAGTGATGACTATAGAAGGAGGTGTGTGTGTGTGTGTGTGTGTGTGTGTGTGTGTGTGGAGGGGGAGGGGAGGCACAAACACTGAACCCCACAACAGATACTCTAATGTTTTCATTCTGCCCCTGGGACTCCTGAGCAGAAGTCGCTGACCCAGGGTCCACCGTGACAGGTCATGGGTGTCAGACTGAGGGTCTGAACGTGGGCTGTCAGGCCCCAGGTCTGGGCTTGACTCCACATTGCCAAGACATCATAGCTTGCCTTTTCTTTTTTTCTTTATTTATTTTAAAATATATATTTTATTTATTTTGTACAGAGAGGAAGGGAGAGGGATAGAGAGTTAGAAACATCGATGAGAGAGAGTCATCGATCAGCTGCCTCTTGCACACCCCCTACTGGAGATATGCCCGCAACCAAGGTACATGCCCTTGACCGGAATCGAACCCGGGTCCCTTCAGTCCCCAAGCCGACGCTCTATCAATTGAGCCAAACCGGTTTTGGCATAGCTTGCCTTTTCTATGAGGTCAAAGTTATGAGTCTGAATCTGTTGCCTCTTATTTGCACATAATCCCTCCTGTTTTCCTTTCCTTTCCTTTTTTATTTATTTATTTTTTTTTATTTTATGTATATTGTTTCAGCACATTTGTTTTTCAGTTTTTTTTTTTGTTTTTTTTTTTAAATATATTTTATTGATTTTGTACAGAGAGGAAGGGAGAGGGATAGAGAGTTAGAAACATCGATGAGAGAGAGTCATCGATCAGCTGCCTCTTGCACACCCCCTACTGGGGATATGCCCGCAACCAAGGTACATGCCCTTGACCGGAATCGAACCTGGGACCCTTCAGTCCCCAAGCCGACGCTCTATCCATTGAGCCAAACCGGTTTCGGCTGTTTTTCAGTTTTAAAATACAACACATTTATTAATCTCTTTTTGGTTTTATATCTTACAAGAAAGCTTCCCCATCCTAACATAAGAATATCCTATTTAATAAAAGACTAATATGCAAATTAACCATCACTCCGCTACACCCACCAGCCACTCAAGAGCAAATATGCAAATAAACCCAACCAAGATGGCTACAGCCACAGAAAGCAGGAGGGTAGCTTGGGTTTCCCCGGCAATGGAAGAAGCCAAGCTTTTTGCCTGCACTTGCTGGCCTAAGCCTCCACTCAAGGCTACAAAGTTTCAATGACAGAAGATACATAAATCCAAACAGAAATGGCGGCAGCCTCAGAGGAACTGGAAAGAGGAGACTAGGGTTTCCCCCGGCGATAGAGGAAGCCAAGCTTTCTGTACACCCTGTCCGGCCCAGGCCTCCGACTGGGTTGCCAGGGGATGTGGTCGGCCTGCAAACCACCACAGGCCCCTTAATCAGGCCGCCCCATGCCCCAAGGGAACCTCCACCCTGATCCAGGACACCCTTCAGGACAAACCAGCTGGCCCCCACCCATGCACCAGGCCTCTTTCTATCTAATAAAAGAGTAATATACAGATTGGCCATCACTCCAACACACAAGATGGCTGCCCCCATGTGGACACAAAGATGGCCTCCACAAGATGCCCAGCAGGGGAGGGCATTTGGGAGGGACCAGGCCTGCAAGAGAAGGCAGTTGTGGGCGATCAGCCCAGCAGGGAGGGCAGTTGAGGGGGACCAGGCCTGTAGGGGAGGACAGTTAGGGGTGACCAAGCTGGCAAGGGAAAGTTGGGAGTGACCAGGCCTGCAGTGAAGGGCAGTTAGGGCAAACAGGCTGGCAGGGGAGAGGTTAGGAGGTGATCAGGCTGGCAGAAGTGGTTAGGGGCAATCAGGAAGGCAGGCAGGTAAGCAGCTGGGATCCAGCAGCCCTGGACTGTGAGAGGGCAGTTGGAGATTCCTTGAGGGGGTCCCAGATTGGAGAGTGCGCAGGCTGGGCTGAGGGACACCCCCAACCCCATGCACAAATTTCGTGCACCAGGCCCCTAGTATTTTTTAAAAAAAATATATTTTATTGATTTTTTACAGAAAGGAAGAGAGAGGGACAGAGAGAGGGAAGAGAGAGGGACAGGATCAGCTGTCTCCTGCACATCACATCCCCTACTGGGGATGTGCCAGCAACCAAGGTACAACCCTAACTGCCCTCCCCTGCAGGCCTGGTCACCCCCAATTGCACTTGACCGGAATCGAACCCAGGACCTTTTAGTTAGCAGGCCGACGCTCTATCTACTGAGCCAAACCTGTTTCGGCTCTAGTATTCTTTATAATGCCTTAGTCTTTTGTTTTTCAAATCTGGCTTCCTAGCCACCCTGCGTCTCCCCTCAGTCCCTCCAGCTCACAGAGAACCACCCATCATCCATCCCCAGGCCACACGGCACGGCCACAGGCTTCAGTTTCACCAATCCCCCGACTGAGCTCAATTCCCCTGACATGTTGGGCAACTTTCTCTTTCTCCTTTAAATTTTTTTCTGTAAAATAGAGAGAGGAATCCAGTTGTCTCTTGGGGTTATGGTTGAGGATTACACATGATTTAATACATATGTAGGCACACATTCTGTATATCATGAGGCTGCTATGGGCAGGCAGAGGCCAGAGAAGGCCAGAAGTGCACATGTGGCAACAAGCATTCATCTAGCCCCATTGAAATGGCCACCCTCATCCGGGGGAGGGGCATCCTCAGCTACGCATGGCCACTCTCAGCCTGTTGCACGCACCTGAGAAAACCAGGGGTGAGGGAGCTCAAAGTTTTGGGGAAAGGGCTATCCTCCTTCCGGATCTGCTGTAAACGTAAAACCCCTTTGTCTACACGTGACAGGTGAACAGAAACAGCAGGAGCCCTGCACAGAGCTAGGTGGAATTACCACAATGTCAGACAACTCTTTTTTCCCCTCCCTGAATCTTGGCTTCACCCCAGAATCATCTGGAGAATTCTTTTTCATTCTTTAAATTCTTTATTGTTGGAAGTATTATGTATGTCTTTCTCTGGGTAGCTTATTTCACTTAGCATGATACTCTCCAGGTCCCTCCATGCTGCCTCAAAGGGTAAAAGATTCTTCTTTTTTACAGCTGCATAGCATTCCATGGTATAAATGCACACACACCTTTTGTTATCCACTCATCTACTGATGGGCGCTTGGGCTGTTTCCAGATCTTAGCTGTTGTAAATAGTGCTGCTATGAGCACATGGTGCATTTAATTCTTTGCCAGAAAACTCTTGCTCCAAAAAATATCTCGGTTTTGTAAAAGACTGTACTTTAATCAGTCCCCACAGCTGTGGAAAGTCTCCATCACACAGTGGGTTTAAGTACTATGAACCAGAGACTAATATAATAATGTAATATGTCAACTGGAATTTTAAAAAAGAACAAAAGAAAACAAAGAAGGACCAGAGACTCAGGGACGGTGTCTGGAACAACAACCCCAAGGTCATTAAAGATGGCCACAATGCCCAGCCGGTGTGGCTCAGTGAACATCAGCCCATGAACCAAGAGGTCACTGGTTCGATTCCTGGTCAGGGCACATGCCTGGATTGTGGGTTTGATCCCCAGGATGAGGTGTGCAGGAGGCAGCCTATTGTCTACCCCTCTCACTTAAAAGATTCCTCTTTCTCTAAAGATGAATAAAAACATATTTTTTTAAAAATGACAGCCACATTTCAGTCTTTGCCTATGGAGGTGGTGACTTTTACCAACATGACCCTAAGAGGCAGGTGAGGACACCCCAGAGTCTCTTTTGCAGGCATGCCACACTCCTGCTCTTTAGGTCTAAGCCTTTGCCCAGGACTCTGGCTTCTGTGCTCAGGGAAGAAATACCCCTAATGGCCAGTAGCGCTGTGGTGTACCTGCTTCAACCTGCCAGGGTGAGGCCAGGAGGGGAGGGTGTTGGGCGGGAGCTCAGCTGGGAGAGACCCCAGCAAAATGGAACCCAGCAGAGTAAGGTGACAACTCACAGGAGTGGTTGGTCAGCAAGGCCCTCAAGAGTTCAATCCCTGACCCTACCCGCACCAGCAAACATGCATGCACACACCATACACGTTCCCACTTCAACACACCAGACACACAAAACACGCACATACCACACAGCAGATACCACATGTACACATACCACGTGCACACATGTGCTCACATATGTTTCATACACCCCAGACTCTTTACCTGGGCAGGTGCTCTGAGCAAGTGTCGTCTGCTCGCAGGCCTGGAACTCTGGTCCCTGTAGCTCATCATGTTTTCCTCTTTCTTCGGCCTGGAATGGCTGGACACTTGGAGCGTCTTTCCAGAGAAGAAAATGGAAAGGTGGCTTTGTCATGCAGCTGTGGCACTACCTGGGGAGGCATCTATGAGCCAAGGGCAGCACTGAACTCCCTTCTCGGGCAGCCACTCAGTCAATGTTTGCGGAGCAGATGAATTTGTTGGCAAAAAGATTGTGAAGCTATATGGAGTTAGCATATTCAGAGTCCTGAATCTGCCTGTCCACTTGCTTGTGTAGAAGTGACCGCCACCCTATGGTCATTCCAATTCTGTGGTGGGATTCCCACAGGCCCCGGGCCCCTCGCAGACCCTGCATAAACATTCTGCACAGAGCCTGCAGGGCTGCCAGCACAGGGAGCTGGTCCCCTGAGGCCCTGCGTGCTTGTCCAGGTGGGAATGGAGACCACACGTGACTGCACTGTGCCAGCTCTAGGTCCTGAAGGGGAAGGAGTGGGGGCTGCTGTTGAAACCATACAAAGCCTTTAGTCCTGAAGGAGCAGTGTCTCAGGCGTCATGGCAAGTGGTTAACAACTTACACCACGCCCAGATGGGGGAGTGGGAAATGCTGCCGCCAATGCTGTGCTGTTGTAGGCCAAGGCCCAGCACCCGTGCCTTAGTTTCCCCACACTTAGCCTGTGGTGACTAGAGAAGGAAACACCTGGAGGTCCTGCACTGGTGCTCCTTCTCCACCTGACTTCTGGAGGATGGCCTCACCTGTGGAGGGGCTGCTGGCCTGCCAGCACAGCCCAGGCACTGTTTATAGCAGGGAAGGACGTTCCCACTGTGTCCTAGTCCCTGGCTGATGAGTGTGACCCCACACCCGCAAAAAAATAAATAAATAAACCTTCATTCTTTCTGGGAGAAGTCATGCAGGAGGCAAAACCTGCTCTACTGAGACAAGAGCCTGGGGTTGCAGAGGCCTGTCAGGGTGCTGACCCACCTCTGGTCAGCACCACCTACCACCCTACTCTGTCCCCCCACGTGGTGGAACCACGACTCACCCAAGTAGGAGACCTGGGTAGCACCCTTGCCCTGGACGTCCTGCAGCTCGGGAACACACGGCTCGTTCTCCTCACCCTGAGAGAGGTCCTGCTGGGCTGCTGGGTCGTCTGTTCACAGAAAAAGGGGGGGGGGGGACACACATTCCTTAGTGACCTGGAGGGACACAGGCCAACCCACGGCGGTGACAGGGCCATGCAGGGCTGCAGAGAGGCTTGAGCAAGCAGAGGGCGGGGAAGGGCACACTAGTGGGGGAGCTGTGGGCTTGGGGCAGCTGTCAGGCCCACGAGGTAGAAACCCTGAGCTTCAGAAGCCATAGGATCAGAATGATCGAAAGGAAAGTGGGTGCACGGGAAGCTGTTATGTTTGGTTTCGAATGCAAAACAGCCAGTAGGCCTGATTTACATGCGACAGCGGCAGGTGAGGATGCCTCTACTAAGAGCCCTCAGTGTCGCTGTGTGCAGGTGACCTCACGTTAGGGATGGCGGGTGGTCGGCAAATTCAGATGCGGGCCCCCAGCTCCGTGGTCTCGGGAGAGGGGGGAAGGACGTCTTACTTGGAGGCAGCGAAACCCCACAGTCCTCTCCAATGATGAACTCCCCGTAGAAGCCAGTCTGGGCAGGGTCTAGAAGGGACCAGTCCTCTTGCGAGAAACAGAAGATCACGTCCTCCAAAGGAAAAACCCGTTTCTGAAACCACAGAACGGGGACGCCTCAGTCCAAGGACAAGCTAGGGAAGGGTCGCTGCAGAGAAGGGAGTGAGCTGGGGCCGAGGACACACCCCTGTCCCATGTGTGCACGGAAGGGAGAGAGAAGGCTGCTCTCTAGCTCTCACCTGGGATCCACACCCTTCCTATCTAGTTTCGCTGAATGCAAACCATGGGGACTCTGGTGGCCAAGGTTGTGGGCAGGGCACACAGTCCCAGGCAGTTCATGAAGACCGAGACACCACCAGGTTCTGTCCAGCAAACACCACGCCATTTCTAGAGCTGTCATCCAAGTTCTCACTGCAGAGATTCACCCCCAGATATCGACTAATTAATTCTCTTGTGTTCAAATTTCTGCTTTAACTTGGCCTGCCATTCCACTTTTTCCTGAGCACAGCCTACAAAAATGACCTTCCCACTGATTTCTTCTCCATTCATCTCTTCCACAGCCATATCCTCATGTGCGTGCATTTTAAAATTTATTCTTATTTACTTCAGAGAGGAAGGGGGAGAGAAACATTAACGATGAAAAAGAATCATTGATCAGCTGCCTCCTGTGCGCCTCCCACTGGGCTTTAAGCCTGCAACCTGAGCATGTGCCTCTTACCGAATCAAACCAGGGACCTCCGTAGACCGATACTCTATCCATTGAGCCAAATCAACTAGAGCTATCCTCATTGTTTTTTTGTTTTTTTTTTAACTCACAAAGCCAAAGCCTTTGGATTTCCCATTGGGATCTCTCATCACCGTGACACTTAGAGTCTTTCGAAACTGGCTGAATAGCTTCTTCAGTCTCTCATCACCCATCCACCTCTTCCCCAAAGTTTTTTATATATATCTTTTTTAAAAAAATATATATATATATTTTATTGATTTTGTACAGAGAGGAAGGGAGAGAGATAGAGAGTTAGAAACATCGATGAGAGAGTCATCGATCAGCTGCCTCTTGCACACTCCCTATTGGGGATATGCCCGCAACCAAGGTACATGCCCTTGACAGGAATCGAACCGGGACTCTTCAGTCCCCAAGCCGACGCTCTATCCATTGAGCCAAACCGGTCTCGGCTGATATACATCTTAGTGAACTCCTTTGCTTTGCCCCCAAGTTTGGCTTCCCACTCTTTTTGAGACTTGAATCTGCCCACAGACACTTCGTTGTCATTGAGGAGCGTGCTGTTCATCTTCTCGGGGGCCTTGTCTGCAGTCTCTTGGGTCTTGAAGTGAATGAAAGCATAACCCTCAGGGCCATTCTTGTCACACACCACCTTGCAGGTCAGGATGTTCCCAAAAGTAGAAAAAGTATCATAAAGTGCCTTATTATGTATAGATTGCTTCCAGGTTCTTGATGGAGACATTTTCCACACCAGCTTTACTCAAAAAGGGATCCCTTTGAGATTCCATGATGCGGACTGGCTTTCCCTCAATCACAACAAGTTCACAGGATCCCGGGCCCGTTCAGTACCAGCATAACTCAGTGAGCGGAGGTGGTTCTGTCGTGCAGACCCGGATGGAAGCCCAGGCACCTCAGGCTGAACTTCTCATGCAGCATGTCCCAGTGCAAGTCACCCCCACACAGGGAGGCCCCGGGGTAGCTGCTGGCGGCGGCGGTCATCTCCCCAGTCCCTGTGGCCCCAAGCCCTGCCAGGACTTCTTATAGGGACCACTCAAGACAAAGGGGTTTTTCCCCAGTCGGCGTGCAGCCTGCTCACGGGTCGCAGGGCAGGAGGGACCCAGGAATCCTGGGTGGCTCATTCGAGACTGCAGGACCGCAGACAAAGGCTCTCAAAAACAATATGGCTTTCCCCAAGAGTTTGTCATTTTCAGCTCCAAATGCAGTTCCAAATTTCCGAATAAATGTATTAAAATAGGGACTTTCCTCCAAATTACAAAAATTCTTAAGGAGCCAGCCAAACGGTACCCACAGGGCCTCTGGGATATGCGTTTCTCTTTAAATACAGGCCTCGGGCTGCCGGCAGTTTAAGATTACAGCTGGGGAAGAGGGATGCAAAATATTTGTCAGCGTGTAAGCCTGGGGGGCCGAGTGCACAGCCACCTTCACGCGGGCCGCCACGGGCAGCCAGACACATGGTGCTCGGGGAGGACGGTGCGGGGCTGCCACGAGGCACGGGCGCAGGGACAGCGCAGCTCGCCACCCACGCCTGGGTGCCATGGAGGCGGCTGGCAGGCCAGAAGTGTGCAAAAGTGACTTTCCCGTAGGTTCCAGGAGGATTCGATTTTTCTTCTCTCCACACACCCGCCCCCAGATTTTAAAGCGTTTTTGAGTTTTTTAAAAATATATTTTATTGATTTTTTTAACAGAGAAGAAGAGAGAGGGATAGAGAGTTAGAAACATCGATGAGAGAGACATCAATCAGCTGCCTCTTGCACACCCCCTACTGCGGATGTGCCCGCAACCAAGATACATGCCCTTGACCGGAATTGAACCCGAGACCTTTCAGTCCACAGGCTGACGCTCTATCCACTGAGCCAAACCGGTTTCGGCATGAGGTTTTGTTTTGAATGTTTTCTTTTTTTTCCTAAGGCCAAACGAAAGCAGCAGAGGCTGCAGCAACGCTGGGCGGAGAGCTTAAAATATATTTACTGATTTCAGAGGAAGGAAGAGGGAGAGAGAGGTAGAAACACCAATGATAAGAGAGAATCAGGTTTTTTTCTTGATGATCTGGCTAACGATTCATCAATATTGTTTATCCTTTCAAAGGTTCTGCTCTTGCTTCCATTGATTTTTTGTGTTGTTTTTTTAGTCTCTCTGTCATTTGTTTCTGCTCTAATCTTTATTATTTCCTTCCTTCTATTTACTCTGGGCTTTATTTGTTCTATTTCTAAATTCTTTATGTTGTAGGGTTAAATAGTTTATTATTAATTTTTCTTGTTTTTTGAGGTAGGCCTGTAGTTCCATGAACTTCCCTCTAGGGACTGCTTTTGCTATATCATAGAGATGTTGTGTTATTGTGTGTCCATTTTCATTGGTTCCAGGATAGAAACAAAGAGAGAGAACCCAAATAAATAAAATCAGAAAGGAAAAACAGTGAAGTAGCAACTAACGTCACAGAAATACAAAGGATTGTAAGAATATACTATGGAAAACTACATGCATACAAGCCAGACAATGTGGATGTAAGAGATAAATTCCTTGAAAAATATAATCTCTCAAAACTGAATCAGGAAGAATCAGAAAACCTGAATAGGCCAATAACAATTGAAGAAATAGAAGCAGTGAACAAAAAGCTCCTAGCAAAGAAAATCCCTGGTCCAGGTGGCTTCACAGGGCAGTTTTACCAAATAGTCAAAGAACAACTAACACCTATCCTCCCAAACTATTCCAAAAATCCAAGAGGAAAGAACACTTCCAAACTCTTTTTATGAGGCCGGCATTATCCTAATTCCAAAGCCAAATAAAGACATTACAAAGAAAAAGAAGTACAGGCCAATATCCCTGATGAACATTGATCCTCAACAAAATATTAGCAAATCAGATCCAGCAATATATTAAAAAAGTCATACAAGATGACCAAATGGGAATGCAAGCCTGCTACAATATTCACAAATCAAAAACCTGATACATCACATAAACAAACTGAAAGACAAAAAACACATGATCATATCAACAGATGCAGAAAAATAATCCAACACCTATTTTTGATAAAAAAAAAAAAAATCTCAGCAATGTGGGAATAGAGGAATCATATCTCAACATAATAAAAGATATATATGACAAACTTATAGCAAATATCATACTCAATAGGCGAAACCTAAAACCATTTCCCCTAAAGACAGGGACAAGACAGGGATGTTCACTTTCACCACTCTTATTCAACACTAGAGGCCTGGTGCAGGAAATTTGTGCATGAGGGCGTGAGGGGGTGGGAGGTGTCCCTCAGCCCAGCTTGCACCCTTTCCAATCTGGGACCCCTCAAGGGATGTCTGACTGCCTGGTAAGATCAGGCCTAAACGGCCAGTCAGACACCCCTCTCACAATCCAGGACTGCTGGCTCCCAACTGTTCACCTGTCTGCCTTCCTGACTGCCCCTAATCGCTTCTGCCTGCCAGCCTGATCGCCCCCTAACCACTCCCCTGCCAGCCTGATTGATGCCTAACTGCTCCCCTGCCAGCCTGACACCCTTAACTGTCCTCCCATGCAGGCCTGGGTCCCCCAGAAATGCCATTTCCTGTAGGCCCGGTCACCCCCAACTTCCCTCCTCTGCTGGCCTGGTCACTCCTAACTGCCCTCCCCTGTAGGCTTGATCGCCCCCAACTGTACTCCCTTGCAGGCCTGGTCCCTTCCAACTGCCCTCCCCTGCTGGCCATCTTGTGGTAACCATCTTGTGTCCACATGGGGGCAGCCATTTCATGTGTTGGAGTGATGGTCGATTTGCATATTACTCTTTTATTAGATAGGATAGTACTGAAAGTCCTAGCCACAGTGATCAAACAAGAAGAAATAAAAGGCAACCAAGTTGGAAAGGAGGAATTATTTGCAGATGACATGATATTGTACATAGAAAACCATAAAGACTGCAAACCCCTCCCCACTAGATTTAACAAATGAATTTAGCAATGTACCAGGACACAAAATAAATACCCCAAAATTGATGGCTTTTTAATACACCAAAAATGAATTCTCAGAAAGAGAAACTAAACAAGCAATCACATTTACCACTGCAGAAAAAAAAAAAAATTACATTCTTACGGATTAACTTAACAAAGGAGGTGAAAGACTTGTATTCGGAAAACCACAGGACATTGAAAAAATAGATAGAGGAAGATATAAACAAGTTGAAAAATATACCGTGTTCATGGATTGCTGGAAGTAACATCATTAAAATGACCATACTACCAAAGGCAATCTACAGATTCAATACAATTCCTAGTATAATACCAACAGCATATTTCACAGATCTACAATAAATACTCCAAAAATTTATATGGAACCAAAATAGGCCCCAAAGAGCCACAGCAATCTTA